GTTTTAGGGTTATGGGGTTTTGAGTTAACTAGGTTTAGAAAAGTGGCGGGGGGCACCCCTCGGCCCCAAACGTCAGGCAAGCAAGCAAGCAAGCAAGCAAGCAAGCAAGCAAGCAAGCAAGCAAGCAAGGGAGCGAGAACTCCCTTTTCCCCATAGCCCTGGCGAAAGAAAGGGAGAGCGAGAAAGACAGGGAGAGCGAAAGCAGCAGAATCTTCAAAAGAATCATGCCTCAGGCCGAGCAGCCAGGGCGAGATTGCCCCGGAGGCAAAAGTTTTGGGGCAAGGAACAATTGTTTGAATTTCGGGGTTCTGTGCCTGAGGCTGAGGATTCCAAGTTGATTGAAGAGTTCAACATTCGAGTGTGCTGTTTTGTAGTCGGTTCAGGGATGCATCGGATGCATGCAGCCCTCTATGAATCGTTGTGCAGCGGGTTGAACCGCTCGTGAGCTTGCAGCGGGTTTCCTGGCCAAGGCAATTTGCCGACGGCTCGGCATCCGCTCTAGGGCAGCAGCTGCAAAGCGTGCGCGCTCCCCGCATGGGGAGATCGGGCGCTAAGTTGTTTTGTGCAGCAGAAAAGGAGGTCTTCGGGCCCGGCATGCTCCCGTTTAGTGCTATCAGAGTCTAGCTGTACGATTTTAGCATCCAGCGCCCCAGTAGTTCGCAGTTGTTGTTTTCCAGTTCCAATTCAAAGTGCCTGCGACTTCGGGTTATTGAGGCTTTAGGGTCTTGGGTTGATATAAGGGTTTTCTTGAGGCCAGAATCCAGCAACTAGGGAACGGGGGGTTGTCTAGTTGGACTTAGGGTCTGGTCTAGGGTTTGGCGCGACCTAGGCTTTGCGGTCTCGAACTCGCACTTGTCGGTTACCCACCTCGGTTCTTCTTCTTGCAACTACTTGGCATTTACCTCTGGTTTGCCCTCGCATTCATTCTACTTTTCCTATCCATCTGATTTACCTTACTTTTATCTTTTGAGTTCACCTTCAGTTTACTTTTAATCCCGATCTGCAATCACCTCTTTTCCACCTTGGATTCACCTATGGTTTGAGTGACATAATTTCTGTCTCCAGCTGCTTCCTTGTCTTAACTATACTGAAGACCAGACCCCATGCCGTTGCATTGTCGCACAGAGCTGGATGTTAACAATTAGGCGTGCGCAAACCCAACACCAGCCGCATCAGTAGCACTTCGGCAGCCCATGGCGGTGGCGAGCCTGTGGTTGGTATTCTTCTTCGCTTGCTTGCTGCTGCTGATTTTTCTGAAGCGGAGCTGGTGCTTTTTGAGGCCGCCACTTACTCAGCCCAGTCTTGCATGTTTCGGAGTTGCAGAAAGAATACGTGGTGCTCGCGTGGCAAAATAGACGCTCCAGTCCTCATATAAGAACAGCAGACGCCGCGACAAATGAAATGGTGACACCAAACCCCACACCTGTGCAATTCTATTTGTTTGCAGGCCGCGGAGTGGATGGAGCATCTCACTTGCATTCAATGACAGCAGGAGGAGCCTCGATAACTGGGTCATGGGACTCTTCGTCGTATAGTTTTAGATGCAGCGGCATGTAAGTACCGCGATCCCCAACATCCCAGGAAGACATACGTGCCTGAAGCTCCCGTTGCTGAAAATCGCACAAGCAGACCCTAAAAGCACCGAGCCCTAAAACCCATGCGCACATCCCGACTCCTGATTTTGAAATGTCTGGGCATCCCTGAAGCCACAACTGCAAGAAACCCTGAATGTCCCAACGAAGCTTCAGTCGCAGGCACCTTGCAGCTCGAGTATGCTCTGGCTCTGCGCTCTGCCGTGGTCTACGTGGCCATCGGCGTGGTGCCACTGCTTTTCCCTTGCTCCGAGCGGTCTGCCAGCGTGGCTTGGGCTGCAACGGTTGCGGTTCAGGGTTTGTGAGGGTTGGCTGCTCAGGAAGACCTCAGTCCGGGGAGATGGCATGAACGAGGTATGGGAAAGGCTTGTTTAAAATGTCGATTCATATTCGTTGCCATTCTGATTGTCTTCTTACTGTTGAGGCTTCTCTGAAAGGTTGGGACAGATGCCCAGCGAGCTCGTACAGCTTGGTGCCCACCAACATCATGCGGATTTATCATTTCCTTCCTTTCTGGTATGCTTTCTTGGTAACTCCACATCTTGGCTGCTTGATCAGCGGCATCCACGATGCTCTGCTGGGTGCTTCCACCGGGCTTTGCATGGCGAGTCTGCTAAATCTGATGATGCCCGGCGGGGCCGGTGGGATGAACTACTTGCCAGAGGATTTCTGGCAAAAAGCTTGGCTGCCTTTTGGGTACCACAGCTTCGCAGCGATCCTCTTTGCAGTCTGCTCAACATACCTCCTGTTCTTCAGCTCGACATCCGTTGGCCAGAAGCAATATGCTCTAGGAGTGTTTTCAGAGCTCCTGGTTCCTTTCATGAACCCTCAGACAACATCTGGGTTCCGAGCGGTGATCTGGGATTGGGAGTTTAACTGGAATTGGAATGGGGTTGCCATGTGTGGCTTCTGGCTTGTCGTTATTGCCATACTGCTCGCCATCCCGTCCCTCGGCCTCCTTCCCTGGAGCCGCGAGTCCGTGAAGAGACACAGCTGCATGTGGTCTGCAGCCACCGAACTGGCACAACTGGCAGAGGACACGGCCGGTTGCTTGGAGTACTTGTTGACAATCCTCCAGCAGGAAGCTTGGAAGTTTCCCTTCCACGCAGACAGCTCCAACTTTTACATCCGACAGCTGGGCATGCGCCGAACGACCGCAGAGGCTCTTCTGGACCAGGCACAGGCACAATTTGTCGGCTCACGGTTTAGGGTTTAGGGTTTAGGCGCTTTGCATCACCTCCGCAGCCTTGTAACTCCGCAGGTGGCGTGGGAGTCGTGGGTTTCTGGCCACACACGGGAGCAACACAAGAATCTGCAGAAAGCAACTCCCGCAGCATCTAGAACATTTCTGGTGAGACTGAAAGATTCCAGAATAAACCGTAGACCCTAAACCCTACTATAAACCCTAAACCCTGAACCCTACTCAGCCGGTACCAGCTGCAGGTTGCCGCATTTCTTCGGCAGCTACGGCAGCTCCTCCGCATTCAGAGTGGCTTGATGCGCTACCTCGGGCAGTCCACTGGCAGGGGCGAGCAGTTCTTGCTCGAGGAGTATGAACCCCAACAGCAACCGTGACAGTAGTTAGATGTAACTAAACTCGACCCACGAAAAACTTGACATTATCAATGCTACCAAAAATCCCCGGCCCTAGCACAGGTTGTAATCATGAAACGAAAGGGAAGAATCAGCACTTTTTCAAGAGGACTTCGTGCTTGCCTGCAGCGAGGGCCTGGCCGCAGTGGCTCGGGATTGCCGGGACAAGGCTTGCTGTCACAAGCACAAACAGCATGACGATGTTTTTATTGAGAGCCACAGTAACAGTAACCACTGAATTTAGGATGCTCTTTAAGTATGCGTGCAGTTCTATATATGCGAGAAGGTGGAAACTCATGCGACTTATGTCTGCGGGGTGGAGAGAGGCCGACATCAGCACGGAGACGCGTCTAGAGCTGCAGCGCCTCGCAAAGAAAGCAGACGAATCTTGGAGCATACCTTGCTTTCCAGGGGCCTCGAGCAGTATGGATTTGGATGGGTTTGGTAGGAATGCCGTGCAAGAGCTTGCGGGCAGTGTGTACTGCCCAGGCGTTCAGGAGGGAGTCTGCGTTGTCGTTGTAGCATGATATGCAAGCAGTGAGCAGACACGTGCCCTGGATGCTGAAACGTGTAGGTCTTCAACATGTCACCGTCCAGTCTAGCCGTTCTGACATTTTGGTCGAATCCCCAGCCTCTGAGTTCCATTTCGGTCGGTTCCCACCGACTCCGTTGATGTTGCGTGGCCCGCTGTTCTTATGTGACGCCCGGGAGTAACTTCCGAGGAAGTGCTGTGCAAGGCTCTGGAGAAGCAGGCCAAACCCGAGAATGCGTTTTCTTCTGAGATGGCTTTCCTGGACCAGCCGCTCGGAGAGTAGAAAAGTTCACGTCATGACCGGTGCCTTCAGCCCTTTTCGGTCCGTTGCCTCACCCAGGCTGCGCTCCTGGCCTGCTGCCTTCAGCGCTTTCGATACGCGCCGCTAAGATGAAGGAGACCTTCGGAGAACAGCTTTTGGAGCCAGGTTTGGCCAGACGTCTTTTTTTTCTTGCTCCGGCTTGGGTGCTGAGGCCAGAACGATGCTGCACCGAGCGCATCCGGAGGGAAGAACGCGAACAGCCGCCATTGGTTTGCCCTCCGGAACACTGTCTCATGGACGCTGGCACTTCTTTGGTCGGTATATTCTCGCGGCTACAGCATGGGTTGTGTGGTTGCTACCTCCTTCATTTTCTCAGAAACATCTGGCTCGTCGTTCGACACGAACATCAACCGCATTCTGGGTGTTGGCATGGGGCTGGCAGTGGGCAATGTTCCCGCTATACTTATCCTCAGTGGGACGAGCGCAGAGAACACATCCTCGATGTTGCGCTTCTTCGCGTACTTCGTCGTCATGTTCATCATGTGGACGCTAGCCATGTTTGGCTACTTGGCCCCCGGCTCCAAGTACTATCGTGCCTGCCTTCTGTGGGCACCTGCCTTAGCAACGAGTTGTCATGTGGCTGTGATTTGACTCCTGCATGCCTCGTGTCAGGTGGGCTACGGCGGAGTGCAGATGCCGCATGGCAAAAGTGAAGAGTCTAGGGGATGCAGTCCAGCAAAGAGGAATTTATGGTAAAGTGGTGTGTCCCGCCTAGGCTAAGACACCTCCCTCAGTTTGACCAGCCTGATGCGGAGCTGTTCCTTACCATCCTGGATAACATTGTGGCCATCATGGTGTGTCGGCAGCAATTTGTTCCGTTTTGGGAGATGCCAAGTTGCTTGTTTCCGAAGACAGGTCTCTTTCCCAAGGCACTGACAAGGACAGTCCGAAACCTTGCGCTCAGGTTGTCTTCATCGTTGACATGGTTTTTGCCTATGTCCAGGCATCTTTTCTGATGCACAAGCATGCTACTGGCCGCAGTCGGGATCAACCCTCAAGACTCCCTGAACAGATCTCTCAGGATAACAGACTCGGGAGAACCTCCGCAGCAAAGCTAGTAGACTCTGCCGTGAGGGCAACAGCACCGAGGAACAGGTCAAGGCCTGTGGGCGGTTTTCACTGTAGGTCTTATCCGAATAATCGAGACTTCCTGCAGCCCAGACAGGCAGCCGTGACTCGCTGCGCCCAGCATGTCGCCAACGCTGTCGAGACGCTGCAGGCCAAGACGCTGAATGCTTCAAGAGTTCCAGAGAATGCAAGCAACCCTCGCTTCTGACGGACAGTGGGCCTTGTTATGAAGTCCTGTCATGCTTTGACGCTCTTTGGCTCAAGACAGGCCATGTAAGGCCCCTGACCCCTCGGCATCTTCGGCAGTGATCCTCACATTTTGAAGAAAGCCGAGACTTGGACCTTAACGTTTTGATCGAGTTTCTCATCGCCAGCTGCGATATCTTGAGGCTTCCAAACCCGTGATGTTCGGGTCCCACTCGCATGACCCACTTCCCTGGGGTTCCCAACATGAAAGTCCAGCTGGCGTTGTGTTTCTGAAGTGGACAGAGATCGTATGGGTTGCAACAGTTGTACCGTGTGTGGTGTGGGTGCAGGTCAAGGATTCTGGCCAATAGCTTTGACCTTGTTCGCTAGATTTCGCAGTGGAATGTTGCTACAGTGGTGTCGTTGACGCTGCGAGCTGGGCCCTAGACAATGGTTTTTGTGTCTCTTGTTCTTGCAGCCTCTGCTGCGGTTGACTCGCGGTGCGCCAGAGCTGCCTTGGCCGAGGCTTTGCCAACTTAGCCCGGCATGGTGATCAAGGTTGACTGCGACATGGCCGTTGAGTCCATAGCCACCAAGCCCATCGAAGGGCAGAAGCCCGGCACCTCGGGCCTTCGGAAGAAGACCAAGGCGCTTGGAGTCTTGGGGAAAGGCATAGGAAGAAAGCGATCTGAAAGACACTGAAGTGTTCGAACAGGTCTTCATGGAGGGCACTTACCTGGCCAACTATGTGCAGAGTGTTTTCAACACCCTGCTTGAGTCGGGCGTGCCTGTGTCTGGAGGCACTTTGGTTGTCTCTGGTGACGGCCGCTTCTGGAATCCGGAAGCAATCCAGATCATTATCAAGATGGCGTTCGCTGCAGGTTGTGCAGAGATGAAACGAGGGTGTTGATCTGCTTATTTGAAAGAACCTTCGAGACCTAGCTCTTCTGTCGTAGGCGAACCGGATAGGTCGGCACCACGGAAGAACGTTTTGACTGCTTTCCAGCTGTGCTCGTGCCTTCAAACGTGCGCAGGAGTGGGGCGGATTTGGTGTGGCACCGGTGGCCTGCTGTCAACGCCAGCCACCTCGGCAGTCATCCGCTGCCGCGGGAAGGGCATGGAGCCCTTCGGTGGATTCATTTGCTCGGCGTCGCACAACCCGGGTGGAATCAACGACGACTTCGGCATCAAGTACAACTGCGAGAATGGTGGCCCGGCCCCTGAGAAGCTCACTGACAAGATGGTCGAGTGGACGGCCAAGCTCAGCGAGCTGAAGACGTGCAGCAGAGTCCCGGACTTCGACCTCTCCAAGCCGCAGACCTATGAGCTCCCAGGTGGCAAAAGTGTGGAGATCTTTGATTGCGTCGAGGACCACATGGCGGTGCTGAAGCAGTGCTTTGACTTCGAGTCCATCAAGAAGCTGATGGTGCACCCAGAGTTCAGCATGACATACGACTCCATGTCTGGTGTGCAGGGGCCGTATGCACTGGGTATCTTGGAAGGACCTCGTAGTTTGATGTCACGGTGCTTCTGTTCAAATTTTTCAATTTTTTCACATGGGAGGAGAGCTGGGCGCTCCAGCTGGAAGCTGCAAGAACGCGAGCCCGAAGCCGGACTTCGGAGGTCCGGAGTCCGCGTGGCACGGCCACGCAGATCCGAATTTGACCTACGCCGTGCCTTCGGCAGCACAGGGGGGCCCCTAACTATCCTAACTGCCCCAACTCAACCAAAAGGTTCCTTGCCTTCCTGTCTCGTCCTGAGGTCGAGCTGGTGGCCGACATGGGCCTGAACAAGGAGGGCCAGAAGGTGGAGACCGGCAAAGCCATCCCGAAGTTCGGTGCCGCGGCGGATGGCGATGCCGATCGCAACATGATCCTTAGCTCGCAGTTCTTCGTGTCACCCTCGGACTCGTTGGCCATGATCGTGGCCAACTCCCACTTGATCCCTCAGTTCAAGGATGGGCTGAGAGGCTGCGCGAGGTCCATGCCCACCTCGGCGGCCTTAGACCTGGTCGCCGAGAAGAAGAGGATCCCGTGCTTTGAGGTGCCCACGGGCTGGAAGTTCTTCGGAAATTTGATGGACAGTGGGACGAGCTACTTTCCGGGGAAGGAGACTTACACCCCTTTCATCTGCGGCGAGGAGTCCTTCGGAACTGGCGCCGACCATGTCCGGGAAAAGGATGGCATGTGGGCCGTACTCGCGTGGCTGCAGATTTTGGCAAAAAAGACGGAGGAGGCCGGCAGGCTCATCACCGTCGAGGACGTGGCCATGGCTCACTGGCAAGAGTACGGGCGCAACTACTACGCTCGCTACGATTACGAAGGCGGGCCCTGCAATCGTGAAAGGCCTTGTTTCCAGCTGTTCTCTATGTTTCACCCCACGGAGGAGTCGACAAGCAGAGGGCAGAGGAGATGTTCGCGGCCATGGAGGCCAAGACGGGAGAGCTGGCTGGGCAAGAGCTCGGTGGGATGAAGAGCCTCGGGCGAAGAAAGTTGGGGATTGCAAGCATGTGGGTCTCTGCACCTCCCACAAGCATGTCGTTGAAATCGAATCGAAGTGAACCCGCGTGAAGGATTAAGATCAACGACATGTTTGAATACACGGATCCGGTCGATGGAAGCGTCTCCAAGAGGCAGGGCCTCCGCTTTATCTTCGAGGACAACTCGCGAATTGTGTTCCGATTGTCCGGCACTGGAGTGGCTGGGGCAACTGTGCGGCTCTACCTCGAGAAGTACGAGCCACCCAGTGGCAACCTGTCCCTGCACCAGTTTGAGGCCAGCTGCAGTCAGAGGAAGCCGCAGACACTTTACCCGGATCCTTGTGCACAGGTGGTGAAACCACTGGCAGCCATTGCCCTTGAGCTTTCACAGTTGCAGGCCTTCACAGGCCGTGCTGGGCTCAGAGGGCAGCAGAGGCCTTGAGTGTTTCGCTGATGCAGCTCCATGGCCCGACTCTCCAGGTGAGAGCCCGACCGTCATCACCTGAGTCGCATGAAACAGAGCCAGGATCAGGAAGTAGCTTCTGTCGTTTTGCAACTTTTGTCTTTTGCTAGGTCCTGCAGGTCAGCGACAGGGCTGGAATCTCTCCAGTGCAGTCGCTGCGTTAATGGTTCTCCCCGCAAATGCGGACTAACAAGTTGAACAGTGCCCAAGGCACTCGCCAAGAAAAGAATCAAAGGAGCAACGCAGGATCCCAGTCTCAAGAGGTTTTTGCGGCAGCCTCGGACCTTTGCCAGGCAGGCAAGGTGTCAGAGTTGGACATGGACCCTCTCCAGAGGGACATCAAGGCGCCGATGTGCACAGTCCGCATGCTAATCAGCAGCGGAGAAGACAGGTCGAAATGGAAACAGCTTCGGTAGCCGTACACCGGTATGATCTCGAGATCGACAGTAGAGTAGAGAAGAGTCGTCGTCGTCGTAGTAGCAGCAGCAGCAGCAGCAACAGCAGCAGCAGCAGCAGCAGCAGCAGCACCAGAAGCAGTGGAGCAGGAGCAGGTGCAGGTGCAGCAGCAGCAGCAGCAGCAGCAGCACCAGCAGCAGCAGCAGCAGCAGCAGCAGCAGCAGCAGCAGCAGCAGCAGCAGCAGCAGCAGCAGCGGCAGTATCAGTAGGAATAGCAGTAGCAGTGGCAGTAGCAGTAGGAGAACGTGTTGGTGCAGGAGTAGGAGTACGAGCAGGAGTAAGAGTAGGAGCAGGAGTAGGAAAAGCAGTAGTAGTAGTCGTCGTCGTAGTAGTCGTTGTCGTCGTAGTCGTAGTGGTACTCCTGTAGTAGTCGTATTGCTAGTAGTCGTAGTGGTAGTAGTCGCAGTGGCAGTAGTAGTGCTAGGGCGGTAGTGGTAGTGGTAGTAGTAGTAGTAGCAGTAGTAGTAGTAGTAGTAGTAGTAGCAGCAGTAGTAGTAGTAGTAGTAGTAGTAGTTGTAGTAGTGGTAGCAGTAGTCGTAGTGGTAGTCGTAGTGGTAGTGGTAGGGGTAGTAGTAGTGGAAGCAGTGGTAGTGGTGGTAGTATTATTACGATTATGACTAGTAGTAGTAGTAGTAGTAGTAGTAGTAGTAGCAGCACTAGTAGCAGTAGTAGTGGTATTCGTAGTAGTAGAAGCAGTAGTAGTAGTAGTAGAAGTAG